AAAAATCACAATCCTGTCATTCTGGAAAGCCTAGACTCATTAAGATCTTTAATTTTGCCAATTCCCCACTTCATTAGGGAATAAAATCTCCCAAGAATAGTGGAGCCAGGGGAATTATGTATTTTAGTTTATGGTGAGTGTTTTAATATTTGTTTTATTTAGGGAAATATTAAGTTCTCCTGTCTATAACCTACAAAATAGAATGGTGTGTAGTATAAGGAGAAAGTTTTGGAGTTTGGAAAACCTTGGAAAATAATTTGCTTTTCCTGAATTAGCTATTAACAGATCTGGCCTTATGGTTTTATCTCTTTAAATTGAATTAATATTTCATAGCCATAGGAACATTGTGCATTTCCAGACAATACAGGTGTGGGGGGGTTTCTCCTTTTACCGCTCTTCTTCCATTAAGGGCCTTGTCTATTTTTCTCTGCTTTATTTTATTTATTTGAAATTAAGGACATCATCAGCAAAGCTCCTTGGGTATAGAGTTTAAAATTGGTATTGGCCAATCAGCAAGCAATGAAATGTGGAGAGGACAGAGAAGAGTCCTATCTCTTTCTAAAACTCCCCTGCATCAGTATGTATAAGAGTGAACACAGCCATCTAAGAAAATTCTAACTGGCTTTATCCTGGGGAAGAAGGTTTCAAGGGATTTTCTTCTTGTTCTAAATCTCAGCAGTGACAATAATCATTTCTCTAGCTTCTTTGGCCAGAAGAGTAGAAGTATTTTTTGTTTTGTTGGCTTCTTGGTTTGTTTTGTGCCGCAGTCCGGCTGCAGCAAAATAACCAGGGAGTGACGAGCAACTTGTGTAGATTCATACAGCAGGAGTAGGAGCCGTTTATGGTAGGACAGGAGTGGTRTATATACATTCCACACAGCTTATCTTAATTAACATAAAATAGATACAGCAGTCAACCAATAAGAAATCTCCACACTTAATGGCTTGCTGGCACCACCTCACAAACCACTCCCCTGGTAAAATGCCAGGCGCCATCCTGACTTGTTTACAGACTCTTAACAGTTTTGTTGTTTTTGTTTTTTTCCATTAGCACCTGCCTCTTCACCTCCTTTGACTGATTTCTTGAATCTTGCCTGTATTCTCAATTTTTAAGTGAGGTTTCCTTAAGTTCAGAAATGCGGTCATAATGTGTACATTATGTGTACTTTATATATCTATATGATATGTACATAATATCTACCTAATACAACTATATGTGTATAGATATATAACGTACATATGAACTGTCATAAATGGAGTCATATTCTGTAATACATATATATTCTATGCATGTATATGTGTGTATAAAGAATCCAATTTGTATTGCTTTTATGATTCTGCTTCTTCCATTGTGTACATAATTTAAATTTAATTCAATGAAATAGTATAAGATAGCATTTGTATTGCATTTAAAAAGGCATGGCAGGGTCTGGGGATGTGGCTCAAGTGGTAGCTAAATATTTAAAAAATTCCCTCTCTCTCTCTCTCTCTAAAAAGAAGACATTGCAAACATCATCCCTCTTAAATTATTTACAGGAAATTGAACGATGTTAGATTATTCTTAATTTATAAATGAAGTTTGGGAATCAGTGATATTAAATTTTATCTTCTGACCTTAACAAATGTCCAACAGAAGTAATGTTATTTATTAATTTTCTTTTATTTTATTCAATGGTTTTGGGGGAATGGGACATTTCTCTTTCCCATTTTAAGATATATATAGTTCCAGTGAAGATGCACATGGCATAAGGAATCCACTGTGACCGGATTAAGACATGATAAGTGAATTCCACAATAGGAAACTCTGCTTCTGGATCCAAGGGAACGCATCAGCCTTCTCTCTTTAAAATYGGTGTGTTATAATTATACCTAATAGTCTCTAATAGTGGGACTCATTTTTACACATTTATACATGCATAAAATAGAACAATATAATCTGGTCTTCCAAACTATATTATAAGCATCTCGCCTTTTTTCTTTTGAAGTTTGATATTTGCAAAACACTATAAATTCTGAAATGTTTTTAGTAGATAGAGCACTAAATATGTGCCACAACTAAATTTGTTTTCCTTTCCCGTTCACTTCAACACCAGCGCTGCATGAAAGAGGTAGGTTTGATAAGCATTTGGACCACATGATGGATTTTGACTTGAGACAGGGTACAGATGTTTGCATATATTTTAAAGATAATTTCTCTCAGGGATACTTTTTAAATGCTATAATGCAAACTTCTAGACAAGTGGTCTTAAACTATTTATATTAAGATAATTTTTATTGATGAAGGGGATGACATATTGATCCAAGAATAAAGATCACATAAGCAGATTGATCTGAATATTAAAAGCTTCTCATAAGGCACATTTGGCACTCAAAACTAATTAGGTAAGTAAGAGGTATTCAAAAACTAGAAAATCTGTTATTAATTTTAACTGGTATTTTATTTTATTCTGAAAATCTGGCAATACTAAGAGAAATAAAGTGCTTAATATTCAAGAGCAAAACCCGAAAGCACTGGATGAAAATGCAGGGAATATACTTATAAAAAATAATYGTTTAGATAAGATAGAGAGTACAATGAGAATATGGTTAAATTTGAAATGTTGAGCTGAAGAATTCGGCAAGTGGCAAAGCACTTTTCTAGCAGCCGTACATCTCTGTTCAATCACTGCACCTTAATAAACAAAACAATACAAAACAGAACTAGAATAGTCAACCACTAAATATGTCATGCAAAAAGATAAAACACAAGGTATAAACAGGCTGAAGATGTTTGTAATGCATATAACACCAAAAAATTTGGACATAGTACAGAATACATAGGAGTTATTACAAATGGATGAAATAAATATAAAATAATTCAGCAGAAATGTACATAAAGAATGTGGCCAAAAAAACTGAAAAGAGGAGAGAAATCTTCTATTAATGTCAATACACATGAAAACACTTAATTTTATTTGTAGTGATGACTCAACCTTAAAGAAGAAATTAAAATGCACTTTACATTTGTCGTACTAGGAAAAAAATCAGTCTGACAACCTTGTGTTGGCAGGAATGTGGAATAAAGAGAACATTCACGGAAAGTTGGCAGGTGTGCGAATTGACAAAGTGAAAATATGTAGTAAATTTAAAGATGTTTATATTTTATGACCCAGAAGTAACCAAGCTTCATGATACATTCTCACTGGTACATATTTGAGAATTCTACAAGCAATGTTATCACTTGGTTTTCATATTCTCAGGAAATATGAAAAATATTTGGAAAATATAATTGTCCAGTGGTAGTTGAATAGATGCATATATCATGACACATTTATATACTGGCATAGCCTTTATTAATAAAAATCACTGCTGCATGAATTAACATGGAAAAACAAAACCAATGTTACTAAAAAATTACATGAATTACACAAAATACGTAAAGTGATTTCATTTCTATCAATTTAAATTTTGCCAAATTAATACTAATTAATTCTGTGGATATATACACCCTTGGAAAATGATGTAACTTTACAAAGATATTAGAAGCATTAAATAATTATTAGTTTCTACTGTAGGAAATGGGGAAAGAAGCAGAAAATTATGTAGGGAGTATGTGAGTATCCAAAACAAATACCACATGTAAAGATTTAATGATTAGTTGTGCCAACAGAGGAGGGTTTTAAATTACTTTCTATTTTTGGTTATAGCCTAAAAACAGTTTATTATGGAATTTGATAAGTTAAGTCCTAATGATTAGTTAATAATACAGGTAAATATCAACTTATTCATCTGTCAAAAACAGTTTAATTTCCTAAGAGGAAAGAACGACAAAACAGAGTGAAATGTAAATCATTTAACAATATGTARAAATAATAAAATGTTAGCATTTCAAAAATATGACATTAAAAACAGAGAAAAATGAAAACAGATATTACATAGGGGCATAGAAATAAACGATGTATATCTTTACAAAGAAGTCYAAARTTAAAAATATAAACTTCACAGTTTTAACACAGGGAAAGCAAATAATATAGATTTGTCATGAGAGAAATTTGAATAAGCGATGAATAAATGAAAGTTATCCCTTATTGTGAATTTTAMAAATGCATATAAAATCCATATATTATGTGTCTAGGACATAAAACAAAATCTCCATGTAGAAAATAATAGGCAATGAAAAAGAAAGAGGAGAAGACAGGTCAATGATAAATAGGAATRCATATGCATAAGAAAAACCATGAACCAAGTCTTGGTTGTGGCTCAGTGGCAGAGCTCTTGTCTGCCATGCAAAGACTCTCTACAATTTCCAGCACCACCAACACAACCCACAATCCTCTGGATATCTCCACCATTAATCTCATGAGCGTGAATTCCAATCAATAAGAAAAATCATTTAAAGATATTTCTTRGAATAATTATCTGAGATATACCCAAAATATATTAATTAACATATAATATGAATTAAAGAAATAAACACAACTAATACGRTTGTTTTGGTGGAAGATATATGGACATTAAGATCCATAAAAATTTGATGAATTGGCATAACTACCGAATTTCTTTTTTTAAAATTTTTTATTAGTTGCTCAAAACATTACAAAGATCTTGACATATCATATATTTGATTCAAATGGGGTACGTAATCTTAGACACTAGTATGTCCCTATGTATAAACATGGCTGTATAACCAATGTGATCCTGCAATCTGTACACATGGAAAAATAAGATTAATTACRTACTACCGAATTTCTTAATTTCATCTTCTACAACTTTCTACCAGTGGGAGTACTATGGATGACATTTTCAGTTCTTTAATGACTTTATAAAGCATTATAAATGGTACTGGTTTGACATTCACTTTCTATGCTTTTTATCAAAAAATACAACAACTAAACTCTAGAGAATAACATATTCTTAAACTTTTGCATGTGAATTATAAGAGAGCAAAAATAATCAGCACAAAACAATTTCTTAAAGTGCTCATAAATTGGTCACATAATAAAAATATATTACACCAGCTTATTAACCAAACAATTCCTTTTTGATAACTTTCCTTATTGCCATTTTAACATCTTTGTTCCGCAGGCTGTAGATCAAAGGGTTTAACATGGGACTCACAAAGATGTAAAATACAGCCACAATTTTCCCCTGTTCAACAGATGTCTCAGAAGGGGGCCTCAGGTACATGCAGAACAATGTTCCATAAAACACTGTGACGGCCATCAGGTGGGACCCACAGGTAGAGAAGGCCTTCTGCCTGCCCTCAGCAGAGCGGATTCAAAGAATGGCAGCAAAGATGAAAACATAGGAGATGAGGATGATGGTGAGGGAGCAGGTGAGGTTGGACCCAGCCACCACGAACATGGCAGTCTCTTTGACACAGAAGGACAGAGGAAGCATCAGGATGGTCTGGGCCAGACCATTTGCAAAGCCATAAACATAAGTAGCCACCACAAGAGAGAGACACACACGCCTGGACATCTTGCTACCATATAACAAGGGCTTGCAGATGGCCATGTAGCGGTCATAGGCCATCACTGCAAGAATATAATAATCTGTGGTCACCAGGGCAATCAGAAAGTGAAATTGTATAAAGCAGCCAATGAGGGAAATGGTTTTTCTCTTAGACAAGAAGTTAACCAGCATCTGAGGGGCAACAGTGGTGGCATAACAGAGATCTACAAAGGACAGGTGGCTGAGGAAGAAGTACATTGGGGTGTGAAGTTTTGAGTCAGCTCTGATTAAGAAAATCATGGTCCCATTGCCAGTTACTGTGATGAGGTAGATGACTAAGAACACCACAAAAAGGACAGGCTGCAGCTCCGCTCGATATATCAGTCCCAGCAGAATAAACTCAGTCACCACCGTGTGGTATTTCTTTAGCATTATGCTTTCTTGCCTTTGTATAAAGCCTAAAGCAAAAGTAATGNATCTTGCTACCATATAACAAGGGCTTGCAGATGGCCATGTAGCGGTCATAGGCCATCACTGTGAGCATATAATAGTCTGTGATCACCAGGGCAATGAAAAAGTGGAATTGTATAAAGCAACCAGTGAAGGAAATGGTTTTTCTCTTGGACAAGAAGTTAACCAGCATCTGAGGGGTGATGTTTGTGGCATAACAGAGATCTACAAAGGACAGGTGGCTGAGGAAGAAGTACATTGGGGTGTGAAGCTTTGAGTCACTTCTGATTAAGAAAATCATGGTCACATTGCCAGTTACTGTGATRAGGTAGATGACYAAGAACACCACAAAAAGGACAGGCTGCAGCTCTGCTCGATCTGTCAGTCCCAGCAGGATAAACTCAGTCACCACCGTGTGGTTTTTCTTTAACATTCCGTTTTCTCCTTCAATAAAGGCCAAAAAAATAAAATTGAACCTGGCTTTTGTCATTTTTGCATCACCCATCTAATGTCATCTGATATTTCTTCTTCATCAAACTTTAAATCCATATGCAAAAAGAAATCTCAAAGTTAGTGTATGATTAGTGTTTTGAACATCTAAATTTATATGTAGCCCTCTCTCTAGATAGATACACAGACAGACACACATGTGTACACAGATTTATGGAAAGGCAATCATATTTTTAATTGGATTTCTTTCAAGAATTTTCACATTTGAAGAGCTTTCATCTTTTTGTAAGTGTTAATATATTTGTGCATTTACCATTTCCTTAAAAATAGGAGTAGAAATGTTGATATTTCTTTCCAAGTAAAATACTTTGTCCTACCAAATAGCTTTGGGTGTGCTTTGCAAATTATCAACCATTGAAACTTCCCTAGGTTTTTGCAGCTAAATAAATGTAGGAAAGTGACACTGAGTAGAACATATCCCTACAGAGCCAGGGTCTCTTTTCCTGCCCCCTAGAACCCAGGGAGTTTTCAAGAGGTTCCTGCAGCCTGTAATGTACATTCATTTACCTAATGGAAGTCTACCTCAGGAGGCCCTCAGAACACAAAACTCTTCATTTTATGACCCATACAGGACCTCACTGGCAGTGTGTGTTTCCCCACATCTCAACAAATTACTGATTGAATGAGAACAAAAGTAATATTAAATGCCTTATGTACGTAGGATATTTTTGAATACAGATGGGTGTATGTATGTGTGTATATAAATGTATATATATATATATAAGTGTATTCTATGAATAACATGAAGTATTAAGTGTTCATGTCAAAGTGATGTTTGGGGGAAAATATGTATCAAATGACATTGCTGGAGCTTTGTGGGAGACAGTAATGAAAAAACATTTGAGAAAGAAATCTCCAGACCACAATGTTTTGCTATAGTACTACCTCATTGTAACTCTTGCAAAATAGGTAAAAATTTTACAAAGCAAATTCAATAAAGCTTTCTTAAAATGTAAGATATATGCGTATCACAGTGAAATAATGAGAGTAGATAGATAACTGGGAAAGCACTTAAGATATCATGAAGTACATTTCTCAGTATTTGGGCAGAATTAAAGGAACCATGGACATCATGATGAAAATTTCACATTTTCCCTCCATGATATACACCAACTTATGAGGGTTATAATGATGTCATACTGGCACTTTTTAAYGAATTTCCAAAGGTGGAATCAGGTCACTTTATAATTCATCTTTAAAACATGTCATTCAACATAATGAATTATGTTGTCCTGTTCTGCATATGAGGACTTTGGGTTTATAGGCTGGAGTAATAAGATGCAATTCAAGCTGTCTACTMAATGAAATTCTAAACATTTCAAGTTTTTTAAGCTTATAAGTTCCAACTGAATTTTATAATAAAAATTGGCAGATAGACAAATGTACTTACAGTGCTTGAATATTTTTTTAAAAAATATTTTTAGTTGTAGATGGGCACAATAYGTTTACTTAATTTATTTATATGTGATACTGAGGGAAGCTCACACATGCTAGGTAAGTGCTGTACCACTGAGCCACAACTCCACGCCTTGAATGATATTTTTATGTCTTTATTTCCTGAAATATTAACCAAGATTCAAAAGGCTTGACACTCCCATTCATTTTCTACTATGGGGCAATGTGCCAGTATAAGCCAGGGACATTCCAGATAATTTAACTGAGAACTTTCTAGTAATAGTCTTCACTTTAAGAAGGAGCACACACATCCTAGACGGTTTGAGTCAGGGAATCTCAGAAAGAAGCATTTGCAAGGGACATAAGTGGCTCTGGCTGGGCATCCCAGGCTTTGCACTCCTGAAATTTACCTTACCCTGAGGTTCTCTCATGTAAATGCTTCCTGTCACTGCTCTGTCCCCCAGAGTGTCTTAAASTATTTTCCTTTGCCTTCGATGCCAGTAGTGTCTCCTTGGCATATGGCTATGCTGAATTTGAGTGAGAAAAATAATTAGAGAGAAGGCACCTTCATGAAATGCTTCTTTTAGTTCATTTTAATACTATAAATTATAAACCTAAACGTTGTCATATCTCAACCAAAAGAGTAAAGAAATATGATGATAGACAACAGATATAGACAACATAATGAATTCAGAAAGTAATGATAAGAATGATTTAATCCAAGTCCCCATTTTGATTTTTCTGAAGCAAGTGAGAGCAGGCTTGATTAATCAATGAGAGACAACAGAGCTTTCCAATTACTGAATCTCACATTCCTACGTCCTGGGTAGAAATCCCAGTTCCTCTAGTATCTAGTTGTGTGGCCTGGGGCATGTTATTAATCTCTCTGGGTCTCAATTTTCTCATTCATAAAGTTTGTTTGATAAGAGCGAGTGCTTCCACGTGAAGACGTTAATTCAGAGAAATTTTTAGAAATATTTTTGGCATATGGTAAGTACTTACAGAGTTGAAGCTGCTATTATGGTAAAAGATGCAGACTTGACCTAGAACACAATTCAAACAGGAAAATAGATTCTTAGGGGCAAGAATTCTTTTAAATTTGGGACTGTAAGCATAGTGGCACCTAGTGAAATGCTTTCCTGACTGGAAGTATCAATAATTATTGATGGATTTAATGTTCTCATTGGCCTAGTCTTTTTCCATTATATAAACACCACTCTACTGTTCATTTATTTATAACTTATTTACTTTAACAAAACTAGTAACATTTTAAAAGATCATCTGCTTTCATAAGATTAGGATTCAGTTCAACTAAAATTAATGGCTAAAAAAATTATTTATGGTTTCAAAAGATTTAAAAAGATTTATCTAAACCTACCTCAGAAAGGATGGTGATTTCACAATGATAGCATCRACATTAACAACATGAAGTGTTTATAACACAGTAGTCTTAGAGGGACCAATTCCCTGTGGTCCAATTATTCCTCACAGTAAATTATTTGGATTATTTAAAAAAAAATCACAATCCTCCTATTCTGAAAATATTAATCTCATTAAAATTTGAGTTTTGCCTTGGGCATGGTGGCACATGCCTATAATCCCAGTGGATAGAAGGCTGAGTCAGGAGGAGGGTAAGTTCAAAGCTAACCTCAGCAATAGTGAGGCACTAAGTAACTCAGTGAGATTCTRTATCTAAATGAAATACAAAATAGGGCTGGGGATGTTGCTCAGTGATCAAGTACCCCTGAGTTCAATCCTGGTACCAAAAAAAGAAAGAAAAAAAATTGAGTTTTGCTCAGTCTCCACATTTATTAGAGAATCAAATCAACCAGGAATGATGAAACAAAAATTCTTTATGTATATTAGTTAATGCTAAATACCTTAATATCTTCTGACTCAKGGAAATACTAAGTTCTCTTATTTAYAACTTGCAAAAAAGGATAGGTTGTGGTAAAAAAAAAAAATTGGAGTTGGGAAAACATTGGAAGTTCAATGAACTTTTCTTTAACTTGGAGTATTGCCTTAGTGACTTTGAACCTTGCACCTTCATCTTTTCAATAGAAATGATAATTCATAGCTGTAGGAACACCATGTATATATAGGTAACTGAGATGTGCTGGGATTCTTCTTTGCCACTCTACTACCATCCCCCATTGTACTGTAGTTTTTCTCCACCTTTTTATCCCCCTTCATCATGTGCTATATWCCACATTGATGGAGCTCCTGTGATATTTAGTTTAAAACTGACGTTAGCCATTGGAAAGATTCAGATAAAGATTAGAGAGAGAGAGTGAGATGAAGCTCCACTGCTTTTTCATTTCCTTCCTGTCTCCCATTAATGCAGGCAGAGTTTCCGAGGTTGTGTTTGGGGGAAGAAGGCAGCAAGAGATTTGATCCCTGGCTTCAACTCTGGATGGGCTGGGGTGATATTGCTCTATCAGGTCTGAGCTTAGAATTTTTTTTCTGTCCTTAGCCTCTGCTCTTTCATATATCTTGAATAATGTCTTTATGTTATATTTTCAAATTTTTATTAGATTCTCTTAAACTTAACCATTGGTGTAGAATWTTATTTTAAGCTGTGCCTCTGTTCAAGGTCAGAGGTATACACAACAGTTTATTATTAGATATATGTTCCAATAAAGGTACAAGAAKGTATAATAACAACAATTTCTTTTGTTAAGTCATTGAAACATCTCTGGATTCACCATTTTTGGAGTTTTAAGAGCCAATGAATCTCCATCGTGATGGATTCTTACTCAGTGGAAGACTTCAGATGGAAATAAGATATAATTTAGGGGAGCATTGCACTGCAGGTAAATTTGAACTTGAAAATGTGGCATAGAAATATTGCTCTGTTTCTTCTCTCTGAATTGATTKGGAAGAGACTCATCCTATAGGCAAAGACTGAAGGTGAAAACCCGGGAAAAGCTTTCCATTCACATGGGATTCATAAGCAAACATGGTAGTTATTCTCATACAGATAAAGTGGACTTTATCCACAAAGTTAATTAGAAGGAGCAAAGAAGGTCACTTCATATTACTTAAGGGAATATGATATAATAAGATATAATGAATATAAATATTTATACCCCCAAAATGTATATATATATATATACACATTTATATATATAACTATATATATATATATGTACTATATGTAGTGTGTATATATATATATATATATATATATATACATATATATATATGCATATATTACATCAAACAAATTCTCAATATTAATAATCAAGTAGATGACAATATAATAATAATACTGGGTGATTTTAACATACTTCTCTCACCTCTGGATGGATGGCTTATTCAAACATAAACTAAGTAAGGATTCTGTAGAACTAAAATATACAATTAATAATTTGGACCTAACAGATGTCTATTGAATACTTCACCCAATAACAACTTAATTCACTTTCTTGTCTGTAGAACATKGATAAAATAGAACATATTTTAGATCAAACAGCAATTCTTATTCAAAATAAATGAGAGTAGTGATACAATGTATCAAAATCTCTG